TGAACACTCAGCGCTGTGTATGCACTCATAAATCACCCATCAGGAAATGGGCTAACATGTTGCGTTGAAAGATTCTTAAAAAAAAACTCACTGAAGCCAAATACAGCCTCTCACAACTCCAGCTGGTACACTGATGCAAATGGGTTCTCAGAACACTCACCTAGCAGGGGAAGCTGTATTATGAAGGGCCTGCCCTCCAGAAGATAATTCCTGTTGTTGTTGTTGTTGTTGTTGTTGTTTTTTGGGGGAGGGGTTCCCTGTGTATGTTAAAACAGCTAAAAGAAAAAAAGTAACAATACAAATGCATAAAGATGCAGAGAAACTGTATCTCTCATACACTCGAGGAGGGAATATAAATAGTTCACCCACTCTAAAAACCAGCTTGGCAGTTTCTTAAAAACCTAACCATATACTTACCATATGACCCAGCAATTACACTACTGGGTATTTATCCCATGGAAATTAAAACACATTCACACACACAGAGAAAATGTGTACATGAATCTTCATAGCAACTTTACTTGCAACAGCCAAAAATTGGAAACATCCCAAAAATCCATGTACAGGTGAATGAATAAACCAACTATGGTCCATTCACACTATGGAATGCTACCAGCAACAAAAAGGAATAAAAATCTATGCAACAACTTGGACAAATATCAAAAGAATTATGCTGAGTGAAAAAAGCTAATATCAAAAGTTTATACATTGTATGATTAAATGTATACATCATACAATGTTTAAACATTGTATGATACCATTTTTATAACATTTTCAAAATGACAAAGGTATAAAGATATTGGAATAGATAGTGGTTGCCTGGGCTTGAAGAAGCTTGTGACTACAAAGACATAGTACAGGGATCCTTGTGGTGAAGAAACAGCTCTGTGTCTTGATCATGGTGGTGGTTATGTGAGTCTACCCATGTGGTAAAACTGCATAGAACTATACACACACACAAGTGCATGTAAAACTATTGAAATCTGAGTAGGTCTGTGGATTATACGATCGCTAATTTCCTGGTTTTGATATTTTACTGTAGTCATGAAAGATGTTATCATGGGGGGAAACTGGGTGAAGGGTACAATAAAATCTCTCTTACTATTTTTACTACTTCATGTGTACCTATAATCATTGAAAAATAAAAAATAAATCATTATGGGAATGTAAATCAAAACCACAATATCATCTCACACTCTTAGGATGGACACTATATAAACAAATAAAGAACAGAAAGTAATAAATGTTGGTAAGGATGTGGAGAACTGGGACACTTGTATTGCTGTTGGGAATGTAAAATGGTGCAGCTGCTATGTGAAACAGTATGGATATTCCTAAAAAGACTAAAAATAGAGCTGATCCTACTTCTGAGTATATATCCAAAAGAACTGAAAGCAGAATCTTAAAAAGATATTTGCATACCCATGTTCACTGCAGCACTATTCACAATAGCGAAGAAGTGGAAGCAACCCAAATATCCAGACAGATGGATGAGTAACACGAAATGTGAGATTTTATATATATAAATTGTATATATAATTTATATGTGTGTGTGTATATATATATGTATTATATATAACCATAGTATCAGTGAGCCTTTGAAAAGGAGGAAATTTTGTCAAATGCATGGATGACTGTTGAACATTAGGCTAAGTGAAATAAGCCAGTGACAAAAAAGACAAACACTGTATAGTTCCATTTATATAAGGTTAAAATCAGAAAATAGAATGGTGATATCAGGCTCTGAGGGGAGAGATAAAAGGGGAGTTGTGATTCAGGAGTATGGAGTTTCAGTTTTGCAAGATAAAAAAGTTCCAGAGATTAACATTGTGAATACAGTTAACATCTCCTGGACTTAAAAATGGCAAGATGGTTAAGTTTTTTACTGTATTTTTTACTATACTAAAACACTTTTAAGCTGAAGCAAAATAGCAAACGTTAAGCCTTATTAAAGTGGGGTGGTGGTTTTATGGTATTTGTTATATCTCCAACTTTCACATATGTTTGTGATATTTCATAATAAAATATTTTTAAGTACTGTATTTTTCTGACTATAAGATGCACCCCCCTCCACCAAATTTGGAATAATGGTTGTTAATGCTGCTGTTGAGTTATGTTTACATTTATGTTGGTGAAATACTATGTTATTTATGTTATTAAATATTTCACCACATTTTTTGCTTCAAAATTTTTTTCCTATTTTCCTCTAAAAGCTGGGTGCGTCTTATGGTCCGAAAAAATGTAATAGCTACTTTTAAATGGGTAGCTACTTTATAATTTTGAGGCCCAATATAAAAACAACATGGAATTTTGCTCTGTGTTCATTTGGGCATTCAAAATTAAAGTTTCTAATTTGCTGGTAACAAATTTATCTTATAATTCTGTTGAAATAAATAGACAAATGAGGAAATGACAAACCACAAACTAACTCCGTATATTAAAATTCAACTGATAATGTTAAGACAATTTCAAATTTGAATTGGAGCCATAGTTTTCTCAGTTTTTTACTGGAGGATTTGTCTGTTGATTTTAGAAAGAGAGGAAGGGAGACAGTGAGGGATTGAGAAACCTCCATTCACATCCTGACCTGGGATGGAACCCCAACCTTTTGGTGTATATGATAATGCACCAACTTAGACACCCTGCCAGTTGCTTCACAGATTTTTATTAAGACATCTAGTCAAGCCCTAGCTGGCGTGCCTCAGTGGATTATGTGCTGGCCTGCAGACCGAAAGGTTGAAGGTTCAATTCCCAGTCAGGGCACATGCCTGGGTTGTGGGCCACCTGGTTGGGGTGTGTGAGAAGCAACCAATCAATGTTTCTTTCTCGTATCTGTGTTTCTCTCCCTCTTTCTCCCTCCCTTCTCCTCTCCCTAAAAATATTAAATAAAGTCTTTTTAAAAATACATCTAGCCAAGTAATATCACTTAAAATCTCAGAATCAAAACCTCTTTGTTACTTTGAAAGGACCTACCAAGGCAAAAACTATTTGCCTATGGAGATTAAGTACTTTTTGCTTTGCAATTTAGGCCCTAATGCTGTCATAAGCTTGTGGGGGGTTTTCCCAGTTGAACAAAAGGGAAAATTGCACTTCATTCACTGAACATTTGAGCACAATGTCAAATACTGTGCTAGATTACCAAATTCCTGACCTCTGGATTTTGTTTCTGTCACCAGACATGATAGTACTAAGTTTCATTTATAAACAGACCACAAAAAATTCCTCTTGTACAGCACATACCTTCCTTCTGAAAACATTTTGCTTTGTTGAGGTTACCAAATGACCCACTTTGGCAAAATATTAAACCAGGAAGCTGTAAGACTAACTTCTGGGAACTGCTGTAACTCCCAGCAAAATCATCATCATCAATCATGAGTGTCCACTCTAGATCATTCTACCAATCAACAGATGTGACTCAGGAGAGGCTAGGAGAAACAAGGTCCGATTCACTGCTGGGTTTACAAACATGAAAATTCATACTTTGTAAAAGTAATATTTTGTCAACTACCTTGAAGTCCAAAAATTGTCTTAAAGAAATTTTATTTCCATCTCCTGCTTATTCAAGCAAGTAGATCTTACCAAGTTTTTATAAATTTAACTTAAAGCTGTCTAGGTGTTAACTCACATACCTGTCTATATTGGACAGTTACCGACATCATTTCTTAATGGTATGCTTAGAAATGTTGTAATTTAATAGCTAATGACCTTTTCTCATATCTAACTGTATTAATGCAAATCTTTACACTACTTCTCACTTAGGAAGGTAGGTATTATTTGACAGCAATTTGCATGTTATTTCCACGCCCACCTCCAAGACTCCGATGCGGGACCGCTGGCAACCAGACCCAAACAGCGAGCTTTACGAAGGTTCTTCGGATTATCTCTCGGAGGCACTAGTGGCCACACCCAGGGTCAGGAAAACGAGCTGGTCCTAGCTGGATAACCCCGCCTTCAGCGTCGCACAACAAACTCATTAATGGTAGAAGTATTATTTACTTTCTGGTACATGAACCCCCCGTTTCTCGAAGAACGTTTTCAGATCCCTACCAGGAATCTTTCTCCTTACCAGAGTTTCTTTCTCCTTACCAGTTTGGAGAAACAGCAAGGAGGCAAAGGGACTTGCAGGTTTTGCCGGAGCCAGATCTAAGCCCCGTCGCCTGGTCATCGGCAGCCGGAGCCACGCAGCTCTGAGCCTGAAGGGCCAGGTGGGGGGTTGGGGCCCCGCAAAGGGTGCTACTACTAGAATCTAGATCAACTGACGCTCTCCGGGGCTCTTACAAGTATCGAGTACGACCAAAGTACTCTGATTATAAAGAAGCGTGATAAAAGCTCCATAACCAAGAGCAAAAATAAAAACCTGCCAGTGTGTGAGTGGCACACGTTTTTCGAGATCTGGGAGAGGTGGATTTGTGCTTCTCCGCAGAAGACAGGAAATACAGCTGCCGGCCACGCCGCCCCGCTCCTAAACACCTCCAAACGGGGACTGGGACAGCCTTCCCTGGAAAGTCGCCCCGCAAGCCCCTGCTTCCTTTTCTTATTAATACACGAGATGGTAATGTTCGCGTTGCAAGGCAAGAACCGAAGACCCCTCCCCATCACCGGCCGGAAACACCCTTCACTCCAGAAAGCAAGCCTCTCCGGCGCACGCGCATTCAGTCACTTAGCAACGTCAGCTCTCCTAGCCAGGAGCCCAGCAACAGACGAGCCACCGCGCCCCACCAATCACCGCAGACCTCGCCTTCACGCGCTTCACCAATCAGCGCCGGCGCCGCAAGGAAGTTTCCAGAGCTTTCGAGGAAGGTTCCCTCAACTCGAATTCATCCGCCTGATAACTTTCCTACTTTTTCCTGAAGGAGGAGAAGGATAGCCTGGAATAGAGGGCAGATGAATTTTTAAGATCCTTTCTTCCGGCTCTGAGGAATTTGGGGCCTGGAGGAAAGGTCTAACTCATCGCGAGAGGTGGGGGCCGGCCGAACTACTTTCAGCGGCGCATGGACCTGGCGGCTACGTAGAAGTGATGGGTTACGCAATAGACGTTGCATAAATTTCAGTTGTGCGGAGCCGGAACTTTCAGAAGCGACTGGCATTGTTAGAGTGTGGTGTGGTTTCTTTGAAGTGATTCGACGTGATTGGAGTTTTTTTCAGTTCCTTAGCAGGTACTGGTTCACAGCCTTCGAGTCTTGGGAGGGTTATGGGGGGCCTAAGTAAGATGACACTGGCTAAGTCCTGTGGCTGGGTGGGCCTTTATGAAAGGATTAAGGGGGAGGGGTAGGCGACGTGACGCCCCGCGGGGAGTTTCCAGAAGAGTGGGCCTTGTTTACGTGTGAGGAGCGGGGGCGTTTCGCGCGCGCGCCGAGATTAACGGACGCCTAACAGATGGAGGTCCCGTCGTGTTTGTTTCAGGGGGGCAAGGCGGGAATAAGGTAGGGCGTCTTGTAAAAATCTTTTAATTTGGAATCGCAACGTACAGAAAATGGCGCCTCCCACTTCCATTTAAACGGAAATGTTTACTCCTCCGAGTCCCGTAGGATTTTCTTACTTCATTATTCCTAGGCATTGGCGAAATTGTTACGGTTCGCAAAGTAGTACAGTGAAGGAACAAAGTTTTGACTGGTAAATTTACAAAACACATTTGATCCTTCAACCAGTGTTAAATTGAAGCCTTGACTAAAGAATTTAGTATTGGGCCCTGGCTGGGGTGGCTCAGTTGGTTGGAGCGTTGTTCCCTACACTAAAGGGTTGGAGGTTGGATTCCTGGTCAGGGCACATTCTTGTTTTGGTTCTGTCCCCGGGGCTCGTGTCGGAGGAGACTGATGGATTTATTTTTTTTCTCTTAAAATCAATAAACATAGTCTTGTTTTGTTTTTTAAGATTTTATTTATTTTTAGAGGGGAAGAGAGGAAGAGAAACATCAATGTGTGATCGCCTCCCAGGCGCCCCTCACGGGCGACCTGGTCTACAACCCAGGCATGTGGCCTGACCAGAAATCGAACGGGCAACCCTTTGGTTTGCAGGCCGGCACTCAATCCCCCGAGCCACACCAGCCAAGGCCATGGCTTTTTTTTTTTTTTTTTTAAAGGAATTCTTCATTAGTCTAGTGAAAATGGAAAGGTGGTCAGAGATATAGATAGTTAAAGGCATTTTGGAGAATAATTAGATGTAAAAGCAATAAATGTGAAAGTCCTGAATAATTTTTTTGTCTTTTAAACGCTGTAGGTCAAAATGCAGATCTTCGTGAAGACCCTGACCGGCAAGACCATCACCCTGGAGGTGGAACCCAGTGACACCATTGAGAATGTGAAGGCCAAGATCCAGGATAAAGAAGGCATCCCCCCTGACCAGCAGAGGCTCATCTTTGCAGGCAAGCAGCTGGAAGATGGCCGCACTCTTTCTGACTACAACATCCAGAAAGAGTCCACCCTGCACCTGGTCCTGCGCCTGAGGGGTGGTATGCAGATCTTCGTGAAGACCCTGACTGGCAAGACCATCACCCTGGAGGTGGAGCCCAGTGACACCATTGAGAATGTGAAGGCCAAGATCCAGGATAAAGAAGGCATCCCTCCTGACCAGCAGAGGCTCATCTTTGCAGGCAAGCAGCTGGAAGATGGCCGCACTCTTTCTGACTACAACATCCAGAAAGAGTCCACCCTGCACCTGGTCCTGCGCCTGAGGGGTGGTATGCAGATCTTCGTGAAGACCCTGACTGGCAAGACCATCACCCTGGAGGTGGAGCCCAGTGACACCATTGAGAATGTGAAGGCCAAGATCCAGGATAAAGAAGGCATCCCTCCTGACCAGCAGAGGCTCATCTTTGCAGGCAAGCAGCTGGAAGATGGCCGCACTCTTTCTGACTACAACATCCAGAAAGAGTCCACCCTGCACCTGGTCCTGCGCCTGAGGGGGTGGTATGCAGATCTTCGTGAAGACCCTGACTGGCAAGACCATCACCCTGGAGGTGGAGCCCAGTGACACCATTGAGAATGTGAAGGCCAAGATCCAGGATAAAGAAGGCATCCCTCCTGACCAGCAGAGGCTCATCTTTGCAGGCAAGCAGCTGGAAGATGGCCGCACTCTTTCTGACTACAACATCCAGAAAGAGTCCACCCTGCACCTGGTCCTTCGTCTAAGGGGTGGCTGTTAATTCTTCAGTTTTGGCATTCATAGTGCCCAGTGATGGCCACTACTCTGCATTCTAGCCATTTTTCCCAGTTTAAGTTTAGAATTACCAGTTTCAATAATAACTGAACCTGTTCAAAGTGTTAATAAAGGTTTCATTGCATGGTAGCAACTTGGTGTCTGTTATGAAATTACCTGATGTGGGAACTCCTAACTGGTGAAAGATGTTCAAGGAAGGGCTTTAATTTTGAGATTGTTAAGGTGACCGACATTAAGTCTTTTGACTTTGGTAAATATCGAGCATGCCAAGATATGGGAATTTTGTCTAAGTCTTGTAATCACCAGTTTAGTGTTGTGCTTTTCTTGCTAGTGCAAGTGTTTAACCTGAAGTAGTGAAGTGGGACCCTAATCGTGTCTGTATGTGAACTCCATTTAATTGTGGAGTCCTTGTCAAATTTGAAAGAAGACTGGCTGGTGAGAGATTGTGAAAGAACTCAGTTAAAAGGGCATTCTGATTTTAAGTAAGTTGCGGACACTGGTATATTGGGCAGCAAATGAAGGTGGTTTCTAACAGCAGTCGGATCTTAATGACTTAACAGGTTTACATTATTTTAAGGAGAAAGATAAGATTGCAACAAGGAATGAAATTCTTCATTGTTTAAACCTAACACAAGGAGTTCTTACACTGTCACGTTATTAAAACTAGGCAGTATTCAATATCAGAAGAATTTTGAGGGACTAAGAATCTATTTGGATTTGAGTTACCATTACAGTGCAGTTTTAAGTTCTCAGTCTCTTTCCCCATTGCAAACAAGTTTGGTGTGACCAGTAATACAGTGATTTTTCAACTTGGGGCAAAAGTGAAAGGAGTGGGGAGTGTATAAGGGAGAAATTGGAAGCTCTGGTTTTCTCAGTTTATACTGTAGGTAAATTTTTGGTATTAACAGTGGTATAATCACAAGTGTATCTCCAGGTGTACATTATTAAAATGAAAACAAAGTACCAGGCATCTAGAAATATGCCATTGATATTCCAGGTATATTTCAGGATGGCTTGGTGCATAATTTTAGGAATTCTGCCTTAATAGTCCCTCAAACATCTATTTTAGAAATCCTCTTAAATTTAAGCATAAATTGAAGTACTTAACTGGGTTTCTTAAGTTGAATGTTGGAGATAACACTTTAGATTCATACAGTGAACTATGCTTCAACTCCTTGAAGGTGGTAAACTTTAAAAATTTAAAAAGTTCCTTGAAGGGAACACGTTTCATTGTTGAATTGGAAGGTGGCATCTCCAATCCCACCATTTCAAGTTGATTTGGTCAAGGCTTGTTGGGGGCAAATCAAGGACTGGGATCCAAATGTCCTATCAACATAGAGCTTAGATCATAAAATCTATTAAGTTATATTAGTTTCCTTGCCCTTTAGGATGTTCTCAAACTAGTGCTCTTATTAAGCAGGTCTTTAGCTGAGTATACAATAGGATAATTTTAAAATAGTTCTTTTGATAGTAATGCTGGGTTTTAAAGAGTCACTTTTTTCCCCACATTTTTCATTACATTCAATAAATGCCTTGGTTAATAAACCTGAAGAATAAATGCATTTGACTGAAGAGTGGGTGGTTTGGGCAAATTATGTTATTTCTACCACATCTTTACCGTGCTTCCTTAACAGGTTGGTCTGGTCTGGAAGCTTTTGGAAAGAGGTTTCAGCTGTTTGAGTCTTCTCAAGATCTCTTCCATAGGGATCCCCAAAGGTATTTCTCAATCTTGGCAAATTCACCCTGCACACCCTTGAAATTTGAGCAAGGAGAAGGGTCTGCATGTGTTTTCAACCTGAGCTCAATTAGTTTTTGGAAGTGGATTAACCTTGTCCTCAAACCTTTTTCTACACTGAATATAACAGGCCAGTTATAGTTCGTGGTTCCTGCTCACTTTTGGCCAGCAGTGCCATGGGAAAACATGATTAGGAGTGGAGCTTTATTTTGGGATGTTTTAGGAATGGGAGAGTTGATAATTTTTTCATGCATCCTATCACCTATCCAACTTAAGTTCATTTTCCAGCTGTTTGTCATCTTAACAGCCAGGGATCTGAATTGCAGTGTTGGTCCAGATGCTAAAGAGCCAAGCCCATGGGAGGGAAGAGACATACATGTTGTTAACAGCCTCTGGTGCAAATCCCTCACCACCCTTCTTTAAGGAAATGTCTCCCTGGACCTCCCCACCCTTACAAACACAATGCCACATATGGTTACTTACGGGATGGACCTTTTTGACTTGCTAGAGTGGTGTCCAAAGTACATGTGGGTCAGTCTTATACAAACTTAATTCTGAACCCATTTTATTTTGTGCCTATATTATCTCCAAAAAGCAAATTCCATGTATTTATCACAACTGCTTGTACATCATTAGTTCTTGAGAACCCAAAAGTTTGCAGAACAAGCTGCAACTTAACCATCTTCAATTGTAATCTTCATTGTCTACCTTCTACTTAGGAATTCATTAATACATCTGTATCCTGTGATCTTTCCTGAAAGAATATTTGCACCTTGTGCCAAGGTGTGTTAACAGGATACTTGGTTTGGCCTACTGAAAGCAAGTCCCTGTAGCAGATGCCACTCCAAGATGGTTTTTGCCAGTTTTTACTGAAATGGGGAAAAAGTGAGAACTTCAGAGTGAATTATACATCAAAGCAAGTGCATTCAATTTAAAGGATTACCTTCTATATAAAAATGTTGCAGTGTAATATAGCGATTAAATACAACTAATTGAGTTTGAATCTGGTTCCACTTAACTGACCTGAAACCTTGGGCATACAAAAGAGTGGGCCCCTGTTTAACATTGGTCACTTAAGGGAGATAAAAGGTGGTTTTGAAGGGAAGTGTTTTAAACTCCATTGTAGATATTTTCATATCTGTTACTACAGGCCTCCAGGAGGCTTGAAGTCATTTTGCAACTTAGCATCTGCATTGTTCACAAGCAATTCTAACAGCCATTATATAGTACTTATGCCCTGAAGTCAAACTGATCCCAAATGGGTAGAGTCTGGTTCATTCTCTGCATCTCTGAGGGACTCTAGAAACTACATTTCATGAGTCTTCCGGAATCACAAGATTTTTCATTTTAATTGTACTCTGCTCATTCCTCATCTGAAGGGGCAAGCCATGCCTCCCTTGTAATTAGGCCCAGCCAACTCTTAAGGTGTTGATTCTGGGAAAGAATATAACACTTAGTGCAACAATACAAAAAGGGAAGTAAGTTTTGAGATTTTACTGTTTCATCCTTTTTTTAAATTTTTTAAAAGATTTTATTTATTTTTAGAGAAGGGAGGGAGAAAGAAACATCAATGTGCGGTTGCTGGGGGCCGTAGCCTGCAACCCAGGCATGTGACCTGACTGGGAATCGAACCTGCGATGCTTTGGTTTGCAGCCCGCACTCAATCCGCTGAGCTACACCAGCCAGGGCATTTTTTTATACTTTCTTGATCCCATTACTATTTTTATTCTTCTCTAATTTTATTTTTTTCCCGTTACAAGAAGTTGAGTGGTGAAGTTTATTTCCAGCTAGTAGATCTCAGTGAACCCTTGTAATTTGTTCTAGCACGTACTCCTGGAACTATGCAGCACCTACCAGGACTCCTCTAAAGGAACAATGTGCCTTTAGATATTTCTAAAATCACTGTTTCTGTAACTTTGTCCTCCAGATGTAACCACTGTAAAAAGGATGCTGTGTGGTCACAAGGGCTCAGGAAGTTGTGACCTCCCTCCTGGAGACTTAACAATGTGCACTAGCATATTAATGGCCCCAAGAAGTTGCTCCTTAAAGGACCTTGTTTAATGTTCAGTGTTTTCCAATTTCACTTATTTTTAACCTTTTCTGTTAATGTCTCACATTTTTTATCCTCACCCAAAGGTATGTTTATTGATTTTTAAGAGAATGGGGCCAGAGGGGAGAGAAAGAAACATCAATTGGTTCCCTTCCCTCAATCCAAGTATGTTCCTTGATCAGGGATCAAACCTGCATCCTTTTGGTGTACAGTACAATGCTCCAAGCAACTGAGCCACCCAGCCACAGGGAATGTCTCATACCTTTTGGGAGGTAATGTTCAAGCCATGACCTCTTCTGTGTACCTGTCTAGCACTGTGGATCGCACATGGTTACAGGCCTCTTTCAGGGCATAAAATGTTTTGCGTACTCACAACTCTAAACCTACTTTTGCCCCACCATCTATTTTTTAGTATGGGTATCTCACACTTTACCCATCTTACTGATGATTATTTAGATTGTTTTTAATTTTTCACTGTCAAAATAATGCTGTAATGAACATTCTTGTGAATGTCTCATTGTTCTATCAAAGAATATGGCATTTTAAAATTTGTGATTACTACAAAATTGCCCTTCAAAAAGATTGTACTACACACAGTGGAATATTACTCAACCTTAAAAAGGAAGGCAATTCTTCCCTGGCAGGTGTGGTTCAGTGGGTTTAGCACTGGCCTGTGAACCAAAGGTTCGTAGGTTCAATTCCCAGTCAGGGCACATGCCTGGTTTGTGGGCCAGGTTCGCAGCTGGGGTCACAGAAGAGGCAACCACACACCGATGTTTCTCTTGTTCTCTTTAAAAAAAAAAAAGGCAGTTACGACACAAATGCTACAATGTGGATGAACCTTGGAGACATGATGATAAATGAAATAAGCCAGTCGCAAAAGGACAAATACTATATCATTCCAGTTATATGAAATACCTAGACTAATCAGAAAGTAGAATGGAGGTTGCCAGGGGATAGGGGGAGGGGAATGAGAGGTTGATGTTTAATGCATATGGAGTTTTAGTTTGGAATGGTAAAAAGTTCTGGACATTATAGTGGTGATAGTTGCACAACAATATAAATGTTCTAATGATACTGAACTGTACACTTAAAAATGGTTAAAATGATAAATTTTATGTACTTCATACCACAATATTTTTTTGAAAAACTACACCAACGTAAATTCCCATCAATACAGCATAAGTATAGTATCTAGCATTCCATACCTTTATTAACATACATTATGAGTCATTTTAATTATGAATAATTTGAAGGGCAAGAATGTCACATTGTTTTAACTTACATTTTTCTAATTAAACACATTTTGTATGTTTTAACATTAATCTGTATTGAGGATTACCTTTTTACATCTTTGCCATTATTATTATTGTAGGAACCTCTATGTATTCTAAAAAGCAATAATTTAATCTGTTCTAATTGCGATAAATAGTGTCTTTCAGACTATTATTTCAGTTTTTGTTTAGGGTATCTTTTATCAAAACAAGTTTTGAATCTGGAAGAGAATCTGGCAATCTTTCTCTTTATGATACTGGACAAAAGAAATATGTACAAGTGTAAGACTTGTTCATAACTACAACACTTTCTTTTTTTAAAAGAAAGGGAATCATACAATGTTTCTACACTCCTCTGGGTGAAGAGTGTTCCAGGAAGAGAAACCTGCCATCGCTATAACTCCCAGATCATAATAGCATTCTCTCCCCACAGCAACCAACAAAACTAGTGACAGAGACTCTGGAGCCATTGACTATCTATTGATTAATTCATTGATTTTCAACAGGTATGCTGCAAGAGACATACTGGTGTTCTGCAAGAATTTTTAAAACATGTAATAGGTGACAAGTTAGGGGCACTGCCATCTTTCCCCTTAGCTTGTCAAATTAAAAAATAACAGCCAACAATGCCATCTGATGTGAATGAATCAAAATTATACCTCTTTTTTGGTTTGCAGGCTGGTGCTCAATTCCCTGAGGAATTATACCTATTTTTTTGTCAGATCAGCAAAAAATATATTTGTTGGAGTGCCATAGAATTTTAGTAATTTATGTGCACCACGTGATGAAAAAGGTTGAAAAATCACTGGATTAATGTAAAGTCTACCTTAACTCCAGTATCAGTAGTAGCTCTGATAAGCACTTTTTATATCACATAGAGTTTGCCAAGCATACTGAACACTTATCTTTGTTTTCTGTCACTCATATGATAGCCCCATGCTTCTTCATAAGTTAAATATGTTTCAAAATAACAGACTCAAAATACATTGGTATTACAATGAGGACATATCAGGGTGCTCTAACCAACATAATGATTTAGGAGTTACCACCAACATTTTAGGGTGGGGGGAGTGCAGTCCTTTATTAGTAAAACTGATCAATTTTGCCTCATATTGATGTTTTGGGTTTAAGTTTTTACTTTTGTTTTTTAATGTATTGATTATGCTATTACAGTTGTCCCATTTCCGCCTTCACTCCCCTCCACCCTGCACACTCTCTCCCACCCACATTTCCCCCTTTAGTTCATGTCCATGTGTCATAACTTCTTTAGCTTCTGCATTTCCCATACTATTCTTACCCTCCCCCTGTCTATCTTCTACCTACCATCTATGCTATTTATTCTCTGTACCTTTTCCGCCTCTCTCCCCCTCCCACTCCCCTGTTGCTAACCCTCCATGTGATCTCCATTTCTGTGGTTGTGTGTTTGCTTAGCTTTTGTTTTTGTTTTAGGTGTGGTTAATAATTGTGAGTTTGCTGTCATTTTACTGTACATGTTTTTTATCTTAGATAAGTCCCTTTAATATTTCATATAATAAGGGCTTGGTGATGATGAACTCCTTTAACTTGACCTTATCTGGGAAGCACTTTTTCTGCCCTTCCATTCTAAATGAAAGCTTTGCTGGATAGAGCAATCTTGAATGTAGGTCCTTGCCTTTCATGACCTGGATACTTCTTTCCAGCCCCTTCTTGCCTGCAGGGTCTCTTTTGAGAAATCAGCTGACAGTCTGATGGGAACTCCTTTGTAGGTAACTGTCTCCTTATTTCTTGTTGCTTCTAGGATTCTCTCCTTCATTTTAATCTTGGCTAATGTAATCATGATGTGCTTTGGTGTGTTCCTCCTTGGGTCCAACTTCTTTGGGACTCTCTGAGCTTCCTAGACTTCGTGGAAGTCTATTTCCTTCTCCAGATCAGGGAAGTTTTCCTTTATTATTTGTTCCAATAACTTTTCCACTTGTTGCTCTTCCTCTTCTCCTTCTGGTACCCCTATAATTCAGATGTTGGAATGTTTAGAGATGTCCTGGAGGTTTCTAAGCCTCTTCATTTTTTTGAATTCTTGTTTCTTCCTTCTTTTCTGTTTTGTTGTTTCTTTCTTCTGGTCCACTCCATTGATTGGAGTCCCAGTTTTCCTCCCATCACTATTGGTTCCCTGTACATTTTTCTTCATTTCACTTAGTGTAGCCTTCATTTTTTCATCTATTTTGCAACCAAATTCAACCGATTCTGTGAGCATACTGATCACCAGTGCTTTAAACTGTGCATCTGATAGGTTTATCTCTTCGTCACTTAGCTGTATTTTTTCTGGAGCTTTGATCTGTTCTTTCATTTATCCATTTCTTTTTTGTCTTGATGCACCTGTTACATAGTGAAGGGCGGAGCCTTAGATGTTCACCATGGTGGGACAGCCTAGTCACTGTGCTGTGATGCTATATGTGGGGTAGGGGTCCAAGAGGGAACAATGGTGCTTGCTCTGCTGTCTGCCGGATTTCAGTCACTTCTGCCACTTTCTCCAAGAAAGCTGGGCCTTCCTGGTACTGATTCCTGGGTGGGTAGGCTTGTGTACATTCTAGGACCCTGTGAGTCTCTCCAACGAACTCTCCTATGAGGCTGGGAGTCTCTCCCGGCACCTCAACCCCCACCGGTGTTTTTAATCCGTGTTTTGAGGCTTTATTTCCCCACACTGGAGCCCTGGGTTGCACCATCTGTGTCGTTCCCGTTTTGCCTGTTTTATCTGCGTGCAAATGTGGTACTTCCTGGTCAGCCAGACACCTTGTGCACCATGCCCCTCCACAATCTGCCTCCTTCCTGGGTCTGCCCACTTCTGCCTTGAGTGCCCGTTGCCACCGCTTTTTTTGCTGAAACCCCTCTCTGCCTGGCCACCCAACTCAGCCCTTCCTACCGAGCTGGATGATGTGTCTACTTTAACTCCTTGGTTGTTGGACTTCCATACAGTTCAATTTTCTGTCAGTACTGGTTGTTTTTTTTTTGTTTTGTTTCTAAATGTTTGTTGTCCTTATTTTGGTTGTGTGAGGAGGTACAGTGTGTCTACCTATGCTTCCATCTTGGCTGGAAGTCCTCAAGTTTTATTTTTTTCAAAATGGAAATAGCTTGATTCATATTTTTCTCTTATTAAAGTAACAACACATGTTAATCATTTTTTAAAAATCCAGGTAATACAGAATGGGAAAAAGAAGAAAGTAAAATGACCTGAATTTCCACCAACTAGA